CCTCAGTAATAAATCATAGACGACGTCAAAATGTGGTAGGATCATCATTGACTCACTCGGCTACACCTTGTTTTCGGCCCTTTTGTTCTTAGCACATTTTTACGTCATCTGTGAGCTAATAGACAGTTTTAGATGTTTCTTATTACGTGTAACTGCAAACCGCAACAAGTCACGTGACCAGACTTCAGCCGTCACGTTGGCCGTTAGCGGTTCACGTTTCAACTTTGGGAAAGGCAGTTTCAGGTTGGTCAACTCCCTCGGCGCTTTTTTTCTTCTAGTTCGAAAGTTCTCATGTATGTCCCGTAAATATTTGTCATTTGAGGTATTTTCTTTTTAGGCCATGTGTTTGGGACGGTAGAAAACCAAAATTTAGGCCACATTTTGTGTTTGAAATGAAGGACTTCTATCCTTTTGGTAATTCAAGATGGCGGTGCACATTTTACTTTTGTTTTGATAAAGAAGATGTGTAATGGTACTTCCAATTTTGGGACCAGTGAACATTTCTGTGCCGGTTTTTGTTTATTCGAAATCGAACGAAATCCTAGCATGAAAAACATATCGCTGTTTTTCTTTGACTTTTCCCGAGTATGCCTCCATTTTGTTGGCTGCTTGTGGAACAAGACTTGCATTTGGCGAGAGAAGTAAAGTGACACAGACCCGAAAAACCGGCCGAGTGGGATAAAATTGCTCAGAGACTCAGTGAAACCTTCATGTGAAGGTGAAAACTTCGTTGAACTGAAGGGAAGAGGTTGCAGGGAGCGAATGGAGCGCCTGCTTCAAAAACACAGGGCTGAAGGTGTAAGATCGTTGAAGAGTCTTGTTTGATTAATTATGTTTGATTTTGACAGTCTACACAAAATTTTCCGTGAGTGCTTCAAGTAAAATTTATGCTGCAAGGGCATAACAGTGAACTTTCTAGACTTTGCTTGGTTATCTTGTTTATATTCATTAAAAAACCCGACGTCGATTTAAAACACTGAAAATCTCGAAACTTCTAACTCTTACCTTCAAACCGCTAACTGCGGTATGAGGTTCGCGGTTAACACACCAAACGTGAATCTAAAACTCTCTAATATAAAAGAGATGTATCACCACGTTTACGTGAAACAGCAAACGTCAGCTTACCCTTTCGTGTTTCACGTAAAATAGCATGAACTTTGCAGCTTTAGTTTCGAGTGAGCTCACGTCATGGTGAATTTGAAGGCGCCTTTGTGTGACTTACAAGAAATAGTTTTGGTGACCTTTTTCCGGTGATTAATTTCTATTCTATGATGAAAAAGTAAAGAAAATCTTACGTACACGGAAAACGCGAGGCAAGGTTACTTTTACGTAGAAACGGCAAAGCGCAATCTGCAAACATGAAAAAATGACGGGAAAAACAACGTCACGTGGTCATTTTTGCCGTTCACGTTTCACGTAAACGCGGTGTTAAATCTCTCTAATACTAAACAGGCGCATGGCAACTAATTTTTGTATGCACGGTATTTT